GGGGGGGGGGGGAAGAGAAGAGAAGAGAAGGGAAGGAAGGGAAGGGGAGAGAACCACTGGAGAGCTGGGGGAAGAATGCAAATTTCTTGGCCAGAAAGAACAGCTGCAGTCAAAAATGAACCTTTTGCCAAGGAGATCTTCCTTATTTCACAATTATTCTGTAATTATCCCAGATAAAATCCTAGCAGGAACACAGAGGATGCTGTTAGAATTTACACAGAATAAAAAGAAGACCAAGAGTGAGTGCAGATATTTGTACAAACCCATTAAACATGGAGACTCGCTATACCAAATATTACATGGTACTAGCAAGCCAGCCAGCTCAAAGCAGCAGTGGATTGGGGCACTCTAACACATCCAAACAATGGGTCTTTATTGAACAAGAAAATTGTGGCAGCGTAAATATTGTTGAGTTACTCTGGATTAATAAAAAAAATCAGAGCCTTCAGAAATTTACAAACATCCTCTAGCATACCCTTTGCTATGGGTTTGGGACAGAACTAGAGATAAGGTAACTTTTCCCCTTGCCAATGACATTTATTGCAAATAATCCAGATCCTAATCCAAATTGTGAACCACAGAGTTTAAAAATTGGAAGAACCATGGAATGCATAGGGTTGACGTTATTCAGTAAACTTTTCTAAATTAGAGATCATAAATAACTAACTCCCGTAGTACCGGTACTTTCAAGTTAGGCATTATGTTTCTCAACTTCCTACGACAGTTGTATACAGAAAGCTAATTTTAATAGAAGCAATGGCATCCGATCAGTTAAAAAAAATAGCTAATTTATAATAATTTTTGCAGATTTTTTTGTTAGGAAAACTGTGTCCATATATGACACCTGGGAACAGGATCTGGACAAATTATCCCAGATGAATGGGATATGATCTGGAAAAGGAGGACCAGTAACCTCAAGGTGTAACATGATAAAATAAAATGTCTTTAATACTGTTTCAACAGTAGCTCTTCCAATAGGTTAAAATATGTACATACATTGAAGGGGAAGAAGTACTGGAGAAATTGTGGTGAGATTTTATGCATATATGGTAGACATGTCCAGGCATCAGAGTATTGGGATACAATCTGTAACCCAATATAACAAATAAATATTGGATATTTATCACCAAAGGATCCTTTGGTGATCTTCCTGGGGCTTCCTAGCACAAATGATCACACAAAAGGAAATGAAGAATTGATCTCATCTGTTAGCGAAGATATGGATAGTCCAAGGGGAAGGGTTAAAAACAAACAAGAAGTTATTGAAAAACTAACGTGCCAATTGTGCACCCATCAAAATAGAGAGCAAATAGATACTTAAATATCTAATTACCATTTATTCAATACTCAGTCAACCCACCTGCAAAAAACAAGCACACCTATTCAAAAAAGTTGGAAGTTACAGTTTGACAGACATGCCTGGTTTGTTAAATGTGTAGTCAGATTTCACTAAAAAAAAAGCTACACAACCCGCCAGAAGCAGCATGTCAGAGGTAGTGTACAGATGCTAACTCTAAGGGTTTGTCTACACTGGCAATT